CCCCCCCCCTCCCAAACATTAATTTGTGCCAGATATTCAAGTGAAACAAATCTCAGAAATAATATCCAGATCACAACAGGACTTCCAAGTGTCACGAAGGCTGTAAAGAAAGTACCCACTTAACATCAGACGTTGGTGTATTCGCTGTTTCTACGCCAGTCAGTCAAAAGTTTTCTTTCTTTAGCCCAAAAATATCAACTGAAAATGTTTATATTCGATCTGATTTGGCCCAAGATGTGTTTGTTTTGGACCTGCAAATAGGGCCTGTAGAAATAATACAAACTTTAGCAGACATAACAACTTTAAGATTTGGTTGAAAAGCCAAATGTGACAAAAAAAGAGTCTTTCCAGCTCTCTGAAAGGACATTTTAAGAAAAAGATGCTGCTTTACATGCAAACCCACTGTGCAATTTGAATCAAAAAATGACATTTAGATCAACCTCATGTGCCTACACCCTCATCAGAAACACACGATCATAAAAGGACCTAAAGGAGTATCGCCACAACCCACTTTGTTTGTTTGTTGAGCTAATCAGCCACTCTTAAACACCATGTCTATTATCTTAGGAGTGTGTGGTCATAAGGCGCTATGACAATCCAGAGGACTGAATGAATAAGGTTGCCATGCAACGCGCCATTGAAAAGGAATTAAATTTACATGTAGATGTAAATAAATGGGCAAATACATCTAGCCTTCATGTAGCTGTCCTACATTCAAAAAAAAATTGTGCCCAAAAATGCTGGGAGCTTAACAGCGAAAGCTCAGAGCTGTTTAGACGTCTAGCAAAACCCATTTCTTTCCAGCAAGTTTTGACTGGGTGGGTAATTATGAAGGTGAACAAAGAGTCTCGCGTTTTCAGTTTGATTCTAAGGTAAAAAAGCTTTCTATTGCACCAGGAAGCGTCCTTGGCAGAAGCACTGCTGCACGTGTTATCACCACAGCTATCCACTTGACATCAGATGAATCATCACACCCCAACATTAGGAACTTGAAACAATATCCTCCTCAGAGCCGTGGTCTCCGCGTGCATTTGGCTGCAGGTACACGAAGATCACAGCCTGAACACCCGCCACCCAGAGGGGGGTAAAAAAAACCCCACAAACACACACTCAGCTTTTTGGATGATCCCACGCATGAGAGACTGTGATGGCTTCCAGTAGGGAAGGCAATCAGGCAGACAGAATCACACATTGTCTTTCCTTACATTATGCGTTTTACACGAGAGAGGGCGGGGGACAAGTCTCTTTTTAAGTCGCTGGATGCAGAGGATAATGTGGCTATTTAGCAGTTATCTCTCAAAGCTGTGTTCATTATCACTGATCAGCAGATTAAGTCCCACAAACACAAGTCTCCACTTTGGTGACTTAAGTCCAAGTCTTGAATCTCAAAGTCTGCATCTCTGCTCTGACCTCAGTTATTTGGGCGACAGCCAAAACAAACTGTACACACAAAAGCAGCAGTTAGAAAAGCTGTAATACCACAATCTTTTACACACATGCACAAAGTGTCTCAGCTTGCGTAAGACAGCTGGGCCCTCTCCAGCAGGCGCCCGGGCTCCTCGTCTTTCTTAATGCGCTGTACCGTGTAAAGAGTGTCAAAGACTCATTTTAAATAACCCTCACATAAAAAGGAAAAAAAAGGGAGGGGAGAGAAAGAAGTGTTGGCTAACGCCTATGAATAAAGATTACTCTGTGTTGTTTTTTTGTTTTTTTTAATAGCAATATGGAGAGATTAAAGCAAACGCAGTCAAAGTTTATTTTGGATTGATCTTTGGGTATTTCTCTGCCTCGAGAACAAAGAGGGAAAATCTCGCTAAGCTCAGCGAACCGAGAAGAGGCCAATTAAATCCTCCTCGGACAAAAAACGTCATAAAATTTTTTTGTTGAAACAGAGAAAGGACTCCATTCGCATAAACAGTAAATGGGACTTTTAAATACCATTATTTGAAGTGATGAACACAGAAAAATTAATGTCTTTCAAAGAACATGGAAAAGAAAGCAATGAACAAGAGTGCACAAGAAGCACTGTTTAATGACCTTTTCTACCCTTTCAATGTAAAGCCAACATGTGGATTATTCAAATCACGATTAAAAAAAGGAGCTGGAACCACTCAGAGTTTGGTATTTTTAGCTAATAATATAAATCACAACGCATTAAAGGGCATCTTTGCTCAAATTGTTCTCTAAAATGATGTTGCAATAAGTTTGAGGCACAAAATTCAAAATGAGTTTTCTCAGCGTCTTAAGCAGACATAGGACAATTAATAATGTGGCATCAGCAGTGTGGGGTTGGATGTCTGTCTCCTACCTGTGGGCTGAGCAGTGGGCAGCCCGGCTGGAACGACGGTGAGAGGAAGGAGGAGAGAAAGCCAGAGTGAGCACCACAGAGCAGTCATTCCTCTGGGCGAAGAGGTCAGACGCAGAGCAGCGAGGCCCGACTCCAACTTAGACAACATCCTCCGTTCGCATACTGTCCAGCAGAAGGGCGGCCGCAGATGCCGCAAGAATCTGTCCGACAGCTCCCCACCACGGACCTGAAACAAGCAGCAGAATCTGTCAAACAGAAGCCAGGATGTCCATTCAGACTATAAACACAGAAATCAACACAGTCTGAAACTTAAAAAAACCAACATCAAATGGCTGTACATTGAACACAGTGCAACAAAGCGCCTTGGGGTCTGTGCATATGCTAATGTCTTTTGACCTGAGAGTCCACACAGATTTGAAAGATTAGACTGGAAATCCCTCTTCAAAGTTTTTTCTTAGAAACTTTCTCTGAGCACCTGGTTCTTAGGATGGGAAAACAGAAATTCCAACACACGAACAGCTCAAAGTGAAAACTTCAGTACCCTACCGTGAGTTCAGATCACAAGCTCAACAATCAATCAGTTAACTTGCTCATTGTTACAGAGCTAAACAGCCTGACGCTCTTTTCCCGGGGACTTTTTTCTTCTCGACAAAGTCACCCTCCATTATCAGATTGCTCGGGAAGCATGGTGGCTACAGAAAGGGATAGCAGAGTGTTCAGCCCCTAAGTTTTCCCGAGAAAGGAAAAGTTGGAATGCCCAGTGAGATGTGAGTGAAATGCCCAGAAAAGTAAAAGAAAAATCTCCCCACACGAGCACACGTAAACACACATGGTACCACTATTAACCTAAACGTCAGAGGGTCTGTGAATCTTCTGAATACCTTTGGTTGTGGGACGTCTACCTTAACACACACACTCCTACGGAGACGTTTATTGAATACACATGCTAACATTACGAAACGAGCTTCACTTGCACACACTGAGGTGTATTGCACACAGGCACACAGTCAAAAGAAAGGTTGTGTTGTCTTAAGTCTTAACAGTACTGTTTTTCTTTCCCTTGCAGGACCTGTGACCCACTCCTCGCTTAGCACAAGTGCGAGGACGCATTTGCACGTTATCGAGCTTCAGTAAAGAAAAACACAGACCGGGGACACTTCACAAGACACACGTGGATAAATAAAGCAGCACACACACATACGGTGTCCTAATTTAAACAGTGCCACCGCACCTTTTACCCGTCAACATACTTCAGCCTTTAATGTTCTCCTTATGAACTCCCAGGAGTCCTTCTATTCCCGTCTCAGCCCATCCTCACCTTCTTACAACACGAGACGCCTACATGCTGCTGAGGTTTGTTTATATAGCACAATAAGGCCTTCGCTCTCAGGCCGTGGAGGTGGCTGATTAAAGGCCTCTCTAAATCTAAACTTTTGTTTTCTCTGGCAGGCACAGAAACACACACACACACACACACACACACACACACACACACACACACAGATAAATATATACATACATATCTATATATATATAAAATAGTAGCTTTTTACAAGGCAGTACACTTGGAGAGCTGACAGGGCTTCAGAGTTGGTTCATATCAACCCGTAGATCTGTTTAGACAAGTAGCATGACAGCCTCTCAAACCATGTGAGAAGAAGATCGAATACAATAGCAGCATTGACTTATCTGGTGTCAGGTAGGGGTTTAGACTAGGCCAGAGTCCACGGCGAGTGTTTGAATCTGAAGAGCAGCAAAGTGCTGCAGTGTAATTGATGCATTTAGGGTGAAATAAATGACAGCCATGTGCAAGAGCAGTAATTAATGTGTGCCCCTTATTACACACAACTACCTGATATCCTCACTGAAAATGAAACCCTCATATACAGCACAACCAGCTAAAAACACTTTGATATCACTTAACAACCTCAAATAGCTGAGTAGAAGAAGAAGAGGAGGTAATATGGATCCCAAAGACCGAGGGAGGAGTTCAAAGCCTCAAATTTTCATGCTAATATTTTCTTAAAGCATGGCAGGGAAACACAACTACGGCAATGAATAAGGCATGAGCATTAATCATGCAGGACTATCTTCACATTGTAATAGCTCAGGGGCGGAAAAACGCTTCAACCTGGGTTCAAATCCCTGCCATCCCTCTATCCTCAGTGAGGAGCGACGTGAGGAAGTCACATGCTAGTCACACCTCCATGGAGTGTCAGCAATCTTTAATAATTAAGTCGGATAATCAGCGGCTGGGGCCGGATCAGCTTTGTGTTCTTGGTGGGGAAAAAAGGGAGATTAGAGGGTTTTTTTGGAGAGTGGAGCCAAGTGGAGGTTAGATGGGTAATAAAGAGACACACAAGTGGGTAATCTTCGTTTGCAGCACGCCTTTCTCCACTCCAGCTTTTTTCTTTTGCAATGCAATGCATGTCTTACACCCACCATCTCCCTTCTGCCTGTCCCTTCACGACTTCTTGCCTGCCTTCATAGCTGAGCCACCCTCTCTTCAGAGAGCTCGCTCGAACGAGTCCTCAGGTGAGAAGAGATATTGATCAGCTGAGAGGCAGAGGAGAGCTCGGCACTTCAGAGCTGTCAGAGGTTCAGGGGTGACTCCGGGCTCAGCTCACCTCGGGCTGACACTCAGACGGGCGGCGTCTTGTCTGAGACTCAGCCTGCACATGGAAAAAGATCCGAACGCCAGGGCTTTGTCCTATGTGTTAAAGCAGAAGATACAGATGGACAGCGAAGTCCCTTCTGAAATTATAAAGACTACATGAAGTGCTGCTAGCAGACACTGGGGGACATTAAAATGTTATAAATCGTACTAAGGTTGGTATAAACTCAGCTTTTACTACCTCAGACATGTGAGAATCCTAATTACAGGGGAACAGAAAGACTAGAAGTCCTTACATATATAGGCACAAATTTTATATCAGAGGTATAGTGTAAAGCTCAGATAAGGTCACATAAGTTTATTTTCTTTAAATAATAAATGAGTGTTTGTGCATGAAAGTAATGATCCTTTTTCTCTGTCAAATTAGACAAGCTGAAGCAGATTAATGAACCCTTCTCTTTATGAACGAGAAGGAAAACGTAAAGGCACTAAACCAGGAGCAGAGCGATGGTCTCGGGCCAATTTCACTAATGAAAAGAGGCAATCAGAGTCTCATTTGGAACCGAAAGTGTCTGAGGCTCGCCTCTGATTGAAAAAGCTGCACACTGGCACGCATTATTTCTCGGGTCAATAGATACAATTAATTTGGAGCATTAGCACAACTATTATCGGCCGCACGCTTGTTTATGACAGCATTTTTTTTCTTCTTTTTTTTTAATAAGCTAAAGCAACAGAGCCCAAATCTCATTTTCAGCGTCTCTCTCGCAGGACGCAATAATCTAATAATTTTCTTCGGGTTGGGAGTTGACATGATGGGAGTCAAAGCCGAGCTGAGTGGCCAAAAAGGAGAAGAAGAAGAAGGAAAAATCACCATCTGAATCCCATTGATGCGCATGTGTTTGAAGAGGGGATGAGTGATCTGCTGCTGAGGGGAGAGAACCGCACAGTTCATTCACTGAGAGGGAGAGGAGGGGGGACAATCCGCCGCTTTCTAACTTCAGAGATGATCAGAGGATTTGGGGGAGTGCGGCTCTGTGAAAGAGATGTGCAATTCATATTTCAGCGCCAAACCTGAGAAGACGTCACTACTGCGGTGAGGAGAAACGGCGTGCCCATCCTAACGAGCACGGGGATGGCTGGATTTTATTTATTTTTAAAAAAAACAACAAGATAAAATCAGGATAGGTTCGATTCATTCTAAATGAAGAGCGAGCTCACCTCAAACGAAATCTGGCAGGTATCACCACAAACCACCCTTTGTGTAAGGATAAGCGTGCGTGATTTCATTTGGCCTCTTTCTTTCTAAAACACTCAGTTTCACAGTTTCCCTCATTCGTGGATTTTTCTGTAAATACTGAAAAACTGGAAAGGATGAAGGGAATGACTTTGGATGTGGAGAGAACGCTTTAGCGCAAATTACTTTTTTCCCCTCACTGAAAAATCAACCAAACTCAATCAACTGCTGGAAAAAGCATACACGTTTCCCAACCCAAATATGTTTTACAGTATTTTTTCCACTCGTTTTTTTCTTACAGCGTGCGTAATTTCAGCAACACACACACACACACACACCTTCACAAGCTACAACAGAAGCCGCTTTGCGCTCCTGCTCCGAACCCGTGGCAATAGATTTGCGCACTGACTGTTGATTCCTCCAGAGTCTGCTGACACTGGCCAAGATGCGCCAATTGCGCACAAACAGGGACCTCCACGCCACCTGTGCTGTGGCACAGCCGCGGGGCTGCTTCACGACTCACGCAGTGTACACAGTGCTCAAAGCTCTAACCTGTCCACATCTACAAGGAAGTGAAGCTGTGAGACTTATGTGTCTGAGTCTGCGTAACCTGCTTGTAAATAATAATAATAATAATAATAATAATAATAATAATAATAATAATAATAATAATAATAATAATAATATTTACCCACAGTATCCCGTTTTGACAGAAAAGATCAGTCTTCAGAGTTTAGATGGCACCAAGCTTTCCTTTGGTGAAATAGCCTCTAGTCTCCGGCAAACTTCACAAAAACCCACAAAACTACTTTTAAATCCTCACGTTCCAGCGCTTGGAGAGCAGTTTAGCGACAGCGGAAAAAAAGAGTCACAAATCCCCCCCTCACGACTTGAAGGCGAGTGTCTTCGCCAACTTCTCTCCACTAAATCCCGTCCTCCGCCGCGCGCTGCTGTCCGCGTTGTCCAAAGTGTCCAGTCCTCCAAAGTCCTTTCATCCTGTCCTGCGAGGGGGCAGAGTGGACGAGGCGGACGGGGACGCGGGATGCGCGGTTCCTTTGCGTCTCCTCCGGCGCAGATGCCAGTTTCGGTGCGTTTCGTCGCTTCTGATCAACCAACGCAGAGTGGTGACTCTTCTCCTCTCGCTGTCTGTGAAGTAGGAGTTGCAAGGTGCTGCCGTCAACCGCGCACCGCTGGGAAACACGAGGAGTTCCAGGTTTACTTTCAAAATAAAATCCTTGGCTCGGATCCGATGACGCATGCTTTGCTCGGAGGCACTCATTCAATTATGAAAATGCAGGAAAGGTAAGGGGGAAAAAGCACTCGCCAGTCTATGAGCCATCTACAAAGGAACTCTGTAATGCAGCAATGGTTATATCGTATCGTTTCATGCACTTTAGTACTTGTGTGTACTTAAATAAGAGTCTTTATTGTGTTTTTCTGTTTTTAATTGTATTTTTTGCTTAATTGCTCACATCCTGTCATCATTGTTAAGTTGTGAATCAGTGTATTTGATGAAAATCTGAATGCATTTTTCAATAAATGAATATGTAAATTTAAATTTAAAATATGTTAAAATGATATACCAACAGAGCCATCTGAGGAGACAAATAAGTGAAGCACAGCTAGCTGTCGTTAGCAGCAAACTCAATTAAATCAGCCTGGCGGACTCAATTGAGTCATCAAAAAGAGTCCTATTCAATAAGGCGACTAGATATCAAGCTTTTATTTTGAAGGCGGAACCATCGCGTGTACGATTGTGTGACGCTCATCACTCCTCTTGAGTCCACGATGCCTCCCTCTGCCAGCCTGCGCGCCGCTGGGACAAACAGCAGCAGCGGGGGAAGGGCGATCAGATTTCGGCGCGCCGCCCCTCCGGGGTCCGCTAGAGGCAGCCAGTGATGGATGGTCCAAGCGCCTCCCATCTCTTTCTTTCAAACTTGAGAATCCTGAGCTGCTTTATGAGCCCCGAATTTTTTGTCTGACACTCAGCGTGGGTACAGAGGCACCAGTAGATGGCTCTGAGATGTAATGAAGACAAGCGTGCTGTATGGAAATGAATACAGTGTCCGCACATGGTGACTGACCGCAGACTTTTAGTTATCTATAAGAGTGAGGGGGATCTCAACCAGTTCCGTTCACTGAAAAAACTTATACCAGAAAACGTCTTTGGATCAGAAGTTTGTTGAATTTATATTTTGTCCATCTGAAGTCCTGGATATAACAAATATGAGAAAACCCCCACTGTAAAATATTTTTAACTTATTTATCTTTTTTTTTTTTTTAAAAAGGCGGGAAACTAAATAAAACACACTCTCCTAAAACACCCACCTTTGTGAGCTTCTGGTGTAGCCAGTGTTCAAAAAGCTTCTAAGTAATACTGATGGCTGCCATCACTTCTTTTGCTCGTCTCCCTGACTGTTCTCTATGATTCTCAATATCAAAGAATGTTGCAGCCAGTGGTTTTCGGGGTGCATGGTGCATACAGTGTAGCTCTGCGTAAGCACCATTAAAGCTGAGGGATACATGCCAAAAGCAATGCATTTTCAGTAAGCTTTGCTGATCTTTGTCTTGCATCTGCTGATTCAAAATTTACCGCCTCTATTTTCCACTGTTAAACATTATTAAATATGTACTTTTCCCTTAAGTAGGTTTATTGCTGTCTAATAATTACAGCTTACTGTGGAAACTGTAAGTCATGCGATAATCTGTCAGAACTGTCATTCAAGATTGAGACCAGCCAATGCAAATGTTTGCCCAGTCAGACCCCAAAGTGTGCTGAGTGAAGAGCAAATTACCATTAACCACCCATTTAATCTGCCATATACTGCAGCCTTTGGCTAATTACCGCAGTCAGGACAGAGGCGATAGCACCCGACTCTGCGTCAAACAACACACCAATTACCGACATCTCTTAAACTGTGTTTTGAGAAGGCAACTTTATGACACCATAAAGCGCAGCAGACCTCTGCTAAGTGGCTGCGAGGAAGGTTGAGGAGTGTGCCGCTATTTGTTCAGCAGAGGTGGGCTCCTCAGCAGTGATTTGTGACAATATGTGTCAGACGTGCACGAACTGACATACGTGTGAGAATGAATGAAGGTTTTTAGACATGGATCTAAATTACATACATGATATAGATGTTTGGATGCTTTAATATTTGCTCATTGGCTTTAATAGACAAAGAATTCTGCTTTATTTTGTATTTTTCTACATACGTCATGCATACAGGTGATACTGTACCCATGCCCGACCTCATGGGAAAGTCAAATGGTGAAAGAACAAAGAGGTCCTCATTAATGTTGGTGAAGACGAAGAGCGCAGACTAATGATGAAGGCCAGTCCCGGTGACCCTTCGTAATACAGAGCTCTGTGAGAAACGCTGGTGGGAGGCAGGCAAGCTCGGGAACAAAAGCCAGTCGGTCGGGAGGAGAGGTCATACAGATGGTGAGAATGCTCAGTCAGACAGCTCAAGTACTGATGGGCAAACTGACCAAATGACCTCTTTGTGCACACACACACACACACACACACACACACACACACACACACACACACACACACAAAACTCCTCCCAGCTCCCCCACGACACTCTAAC